TAAAAAGAGAGAGCTAGATGATTTAACCAGAGATTCAGGTCTTACTAAATCAGGGTAGTGAATAAATGGAATCTAGTAGACAAAATCTGAAGGACTTGTGTGTACCAAAAACGACATAAAGATTTTATTGTAATAATTGAGTTATTTTAAAAAAGTGACTGATTTGTTTGTTTCTCGTAGACTCAAGCATGATCCTACACAACAGCGAGTTTCATAGATAGATCAAAACCAAGCCTCAAAGAAGTGTTGCTCCACAATAAAAGTAAATATCCTTGCATCTTGCACACTCGGTACAGAAGGATAAAGACTATGTCAAAAAACTTCTTAAATTTTGAATTAAAGTAGGATGTTTGTGGTAATTTCAAGATGCTTGCTTTCTTGTGAGTTTAGAAATGATTTGAAGCAAGTTTCACTTTTTTTATTTTTGATATTAGACCTGCGCCTGGGCTAAAAAATGCATGGTTAAACGAATTAGCAATTATGACATCATTATTAGTTTAAAAGTTATTTATAATTAGCTTATTTGGTAAATAACCAATATTTATATTTTTACAACCTTATTATGCTCCAAACTTTTTGTATATCATTTTTCTATTTTAATAAAATTTTTTTTTTTACTATAGTAAAAGTTTTTTAAGCGCTTTAAAACAAAAAGACAACTATAATTTTTATAGTTTGTTTCATTTTCGTTTTTTTAAGAATTTTTTAATTTTTTAATGAACTTTTCATATAAACGTTATTTTTTTGTGGAAGATTTCATGAATCCTTGTGTTATCTAGGAGTTTTTGTGAAATCAAATTTAGTTGTCACAAGCAGTAGTGGCATTGAAATATGATGAAAGTTATTACAAGCTTTAAATTCTGACATTATTATTTTTAGCTTTCAAAACAAACTCCTGGCTTTTCCTTGATAAAAATATATAAAAATGATTACTTGTTTTTTAATTTTTACTATTTCAGAAAGTTGGTTTAGTGTAATTATAAGACAGGTGGTCAGAAATGTCAGTTATGAACATTACATTTTTAATCTTTATATTTTTGAAGTTATAAGTTATAATTTGATCATTGTGGCACTATATTTTGTTATTCGAGTTGGTTTATTTATAGTTGTAATGAAACTATTTTGAAATATAATATTAAAAAAATTCTAACGTCTTTATTTTTGTCATATTCGAGCAAAACTGAATTCAGATTTCCCACAAAGCAACCGAATTTCTCTCGTTTATGAAGAAACTTTAATTTGTTTGTTTAATTAGCAGAATGCGGTCTACATATGACGCACCTATTGCGTTTTTGCAAGTTCTCATTTGATATAAATTCAAAATTGTGCGTCATAACAAAATTTTTTACGTAGTTTAAAATCTAAAACGTTGTGGATAAAAATGCACAATCCTCCATCTGCTTTTGAAGTCTCTAGTTTGATGAAATACTTTATAATTATTTCCTTATCTAGACACCACGTATCGGTCAAATATAATTTGAAAGTTGAATTTGACGCTAAACAAAAATTGTTTATAATTCTTAAATCTTTTTTGGATTAGTGATTAGTGATTTTTTGGATTGGTGAAGTCAAATCTATGTTAACAGTAATACATGAAATATCGAACTAAAGCGTTAGGGGTATATGTTTATCACTCACTTCTCATCATTATAAAGCTTAATAAATATATCTGATTGATTTTTAATGGTATATATTATTTTATTAGGAAAGCTTAAAAAAATTTTTATATCAATATTATTAAAAGCATCATTATCAAAATCAATCCTAGATAGTAGATAAGTTTCCATTTTGAAAATATAAATTTTATAAAAAAAATTTAAAGAACAAAAGTTAATTACTTTTTTTTCGGGATTCACTTATAAATGATTAGTTAATCGTAAAATATTGCTGCGAATTTGTCAAGCTCTCGGTTTTTTTTTTCACTCTCTTGGCTCTTCTCTTATCATTCAATTTTTTTTATTTTTTATGTTTATGCTATGATTTAAAAAAAATATCGAAAAATAATCTCTAAAATACTTAAAAAACAAAAAAACATCCTTGACAAAACTAGAAAACTTTAAATCGAGAAGAATCTTTGAAATGTTTTAATTTAGCTGAGTCGATATCGTCGTTTGTGTAATAATTTTCGTCGTTTCGTCGTTTGTATAATATAAATAAATTTCTGTATTTCACTGCATTCTGCGACCAACAACGTAACAAACTTATTCTTTATTTTTCTTTTGTTAAGTTAGCTTTTTTATTTGATTTATCAATATTATCTTTATAGTTCTTATCAAGTCTTTCAGTAATAATTCTTATGTGTTTGCAGCTGTTATTGAAGCCAAGTTATTTTCGTGGTCTTTTAATAGTTTTCTAGTTTCGTCGAGGATTTCGTTGTTATTATTATTATTATTTTTGTTTGTTTTTCAAACATTTTAGAAATTAATTTTTATGATTAAAAACGCGTTTGAATTACAATTGTAACATTGTATTAAAATTTTTTTTCCAGCTTCTATTTTCTATTTCTATCTTTTATTTTATTTTAAAAATAAAAATGTTAAGAACTTGAACTCTTGAAATTTTCTTGATCAGAGCTTTGCATGGCTACTTTTCAGCATTGTGCATATATCGTTTGCCTGTCAGTAAATGACGTCAAACAAACAAGAATTGATCACAAAAGTATCATCGAGATATAAGTTTTCACTATGAATGTTTCACTATGAATGTTTGGTCTGTTTCACTATGAATGTTTATGAATAATTCGTTATTAATGTTTGGTCTGTTTCATTATGAATGTTTATGAATATTTCACTATTAATGTTTGGTCTGTTTCACTATGAATGTTTATGAATATTTCACTATTAATGTTTGGTCTGTTTCACAATGAATGTTTATGAATATTTCACTATTAATGTTTGGTCTGTTTCACTATGAATGTTTATGAATATTTCACTATTAATGTTTGGTCTGTTTCACTATGAATGTTTATGAATATTTCACTATTAATGTTTTGTGTTGAGAAAAAAAAAAGCTATTTTAGAGATTGAAATTGTTTTTAATCTGCTTTAATCGGCTTTAATCTGCTGGATAAATTAAACAAACTCAGTTTTGAATACGTTAATCTTACATGCCTTTGATGCATCATTGTGATAATGAGATTATGTTAAGTGCGTTAAGTTACTACAAACAAATTCTGCCAGCTATTTGGATGGAACAAATAGCCTACCACATGATAAGAGAGATAGATATCAGTTATCTTCACGATCAACGTATTCAGAAAAACTTTCCATAATTCTTTTCAAATTTCAAACAGTTCATCAAGTATTGTCAAGAAAGGATGAATATCTGGTGAAGGTTTTTCTTCCCAAAAGCTTAATGCTCTTTAATTAAAAAATTATTTCTGAATTTAAAACTTCTCTTAAACTTAAAAAAATCTTTTCCCACTCACTTGCTAGTTTTGTGAGAAACGTCTCTTAATTGGATCACTTTGTAAATGAGCTGTCATCACATTATCATATCCATAATTCAGGAGCTCTTCAGCAAGTAGTGCTTAAGCACGAAATGTATTTACAAATGCTGATGCAGTTTGAGTTGTTAGGGTGAATGAAGATGAAAGGGACCATTGATTGTTCCAACCAGCCAGTGTTTGGTAAAATACCATTTTTTTGTCTTGTAATGCAACAGCATTGCCATAATATTAGCTGAAAAACTTTTTTTAAAATTAGCAATTGTTCACCAAGTGTTAAAAATAGTTAAAAAATTTGATACATCTTTTTATTTGGATGATACCTTTTTGAAGCTATTTGTAGTTGCATCATTTTTGTTAAATATTCCTAACTGATCTTCTTGGAATACTTTTTTAGGAGGACTTTGAGGAGTTTTTAAAACTGGTGAAGATAATTTTTTTTGGCAAAAGTTCACAAGAAAACTTAGAAGAAATAGGTTTTAAACGCCAATTCAGGGTGCGTTTATCACCTCCAATATATATTTATCTTCAAAATGAAGTACACATAAAACAAAACAAAAAAATTTTGTTGGAGTCCAAACTGAACGATTAACAAATCATATCCAAAGTTGATTTAAGTTTTGGTTTGTTGGAAAATGAAAAGTAGCAATTTATTTGTATTTGTTGCTTGAATACCCCGTTGTTCATTTCGGTGCACATTTGTTGACCATTTTTAATATAATTTCTTTAAAAGTTAGCACACTCAGAAAGAAGAATGGTTCTAAAAATATTATTTTGGCGTACTTTATATTAAAAACTTTCAAAACGGTTTTCTTAATTTCCCCCTCAAAAACGTATAATATACGGTCGTGAATATAGTAGGCCATGGTTTATCCTGCAACGTTTTTTTCCTTCTTCTCTGTTTATGTCAAACAGTTTGAAAACTAAGGTTAGTTGCTACTTTTTTTATCTTATTTATGATAACGATAAAATTGTTGCATAAAAAAGTTATCGAGTGAAGCAGAAACCAGAGGCGATTCTACAGGTGTGTATTTGTATGTGTGGGGAAGGAGGGGGGGAAGGGTGGAGGGATGGTGTTGGAAGGGTTATATCCCATAGTAGTCAATTTTCAAGTTATAGTCAGTTTTTTAAGGAATATAGTTGACTAGTCAGGTGTTAAACACATTTCCGTCAGGTGATTTTTAGTTTTACAGACCTTTTTTTTTGTTTTGTTTTGTTTTAAATAAAGCAAGTCGGTACTTTTTAAGAATTCAACATTAGGCCCCAAATTTAATTATAATGATTTTCAGAAAAGCTCGTAAATTTTTTCTCATTTAGAACATAACCTTAATCTATTAAAATTGGTTTTGTATTTGCCCCACAATAATTTTTCAAATAAATAATTTTGAAAAAATTGAATGAAAAAAGGACTAAAAGAGAAAAGTAAGGTCCTTAAAACTATTTCGGGGCCCTTCACCGGCCTGATGTAATATTTTGTAAACTTCATAACATCTTTTCCAATATAAATAATAAAAAACCAAAAACAAATAACGTCTAGATTAATTTGGACTCATGACAACCGGCTTCAGCAAAAATGTTGCTGCGCGGAGCTGAATCCAGTTTTGCACCGCAAACCTCATACAAATAACAACAAAGGAAAATCTATTTCCTCTTCAAAACTGTAATTGTGCTTAACTTGATAGTTAAATGAATATCAATACTTTCTGCAACTTGTCCATAAATGAAACATATAGTATCTGGAATGAGAAGTTAAATTCATTTACTCAATGCTTTTTGTGGATTCCAATCGAAACTGGCTCCCTTTTTATTTTTGCGATTACATGTAGCTACTTTCTTGGTAAGTCAAGACATTTGCAATCATTCAGGGAAAAAAGTTATACAACCTGGTTTATAACAATAATTGCTATAAGTCAGGCTCTATTAAGTGGAATTGAAATATTATTTTCATATCTCACACAACGCAACGGTTTTCCTGGAGCTTATGTTATGGTAAAAGGCATATCAATAATAACATGGTTTATTTGTTTCTTGCTTCATTTGAAAAGTTTAAATGTTTTAAACATGAAAAAGAGAAGCAAAGTGATGTTTTTTTCATTTCTTCTTATGTTAATAAGCTCTACAATAAAGCTGCAATATACAATCATCCAGATAATGCAAAAGCATGCAGTTACCTTGAACCTTGTTGTAAATTGTCTTGAGTTTTTTCTGAGTTTTACATTCTTTGCATCATGTTTGTATATTATTTATTCGAAATCTAGAAATAAAAACTATATAGAATTAAATGATAAAGTATTCCATCAACATGGGAGTGATTCAGATCCTATATTACAAGAAATCTATCTTGGTAAAGCTCAAACGAGTAGAAGCTTTTTGTCATCATTACTTTTTTTATGGGTCAATAAGCTTTTGCTGAAAGGTTTTTACAAACAAATAAAAAACACAGACAGTCTTTTTATTTTACCAGATGATTTACAAATAGGAGTATTTGAAGATAATTTTGAAAGAAACTTACAAAAACATGCAAATAAAAGCTCTTACACAATATTTAAAGCATTGCAAAGCACTTTTGGATGTTTTTATTACAGTTTAGGAATATTAAAATTTTTGTGTGATGTTCTTGGATTTTCTGGCCCTATAATTTTAAATTATTTGGTGAACTTCATTGAAAACAAGCAGGTATAAATTCAGAATATAGAAGTTATTTATATATATTTATATATTATATAATTATAGAAATTATTTATATATACAGCTATAGACAAAAGTAATGGAGATGGTAATTTCAATCTATTTTTTTATTTTTTTTTTCACATCATTTTCAATCTTAAAAATAAATATGAGTAATTTTTTAAAAATAAATTTGAAGGAAATTTAAAAGAAAAATTAATTAGCAATACACATGATATTATTAATATAAAGTACTTTAAAAAAATAGTTATCAAAAAATAATTAATCACATAATAATAAAAAAAAAAGTTTAAATGTTTAATCAATTTAAGGTTTATAACTGAAAAATAAAAAAAAAGAGCTATATTTTGCTTGATGGAGAAGAAAGAACTTGTTTCTACACTGATTTTGTATTGATCTTATACACATTTCTCTTGGTTTTTTTAACCAATGCTTGTTCAAAATTAATTTTAAATACTCAGTTGATTGAAGTTAGTGGTTAACCAATTGAGCATTGATCCACCAAAATTTTTATATTGATTTGAGATCTGGTGATCTTGACACCAAGGCAACAAATTGATTTTTTTGTGTTAAAACAGTGTATTATAATATGTGCTGTATTTTGTATTAAAGCCTTATTTTGCTGGAGGATGTATTCTTTTTTCATCCATGCAATTGTTTTCTTTGTTCATGCAATTAAAGATCAAGCATGATTCTGTTCTTTTTTTGTTGGTATATTGGTTGATATGGTTGTTATATAACTCATATTTCAAGGTCTTTATGGGTAAAAGCTTTTTTTATGTAAACTTGCTTCCATCACCTTGTTGTCTTGCTTGTAAAAAATATTTGTACATTTTTGCAGTTTTGATTCTTACTTTGCAGTTGTTCAAACTTTAACTTTAAAGTTTGACTTGTTGAAATTGAACTAACCCTCCTTTCTTGTACGCTTTTAGGTACCCACTTATATATACTTGTCTACATAGTTATGGATACTCCCTTACAAAACAATATTTATATCTTATTTTGGTTTCCCAAAAATTTCAAAAGAAAGCATTATCACTATTTAGTTATAAGAATATCTTCCTTATTTTTTTATTTTTTTAAAATCTTCGCTTCCAACAAAGCTGCAAACAACTACTAATTAGTGTTGGAAGTTACTGGAAGAGAAAAGATGAAGATTGTAGAGCAAGATAATGATTGACAGACGACTTAAAATATTGCAAATCATATGAATCAGGAAAGCAAGATGAAGGAAGCGAATTCCAAAGAACTGATGTTCGAGGAAAAAAACTAGACGAATAAGAGTTTTTGGAGCACTTAGGAACAGTAACAGAAAAAGGATGAGACTTAATTGAATGACGAGTAACACGAGAAAGAATTTTAGTAGATGGCACAAGAGGCGCTAGCTCTTTAGAGCAGTGCCCATTATAGTATTTGTAGAAAAGAGAAAGAGAAGCAACATTACGACGATGTGACAGAGGTTGAAGGTTGGCTGCAAGAGCAGGTCCAACTATGTTTACAATGCGTTTTTGCACCTTGTCTAAAAGAGAAAGGGCATCATTAGAAGATCCGCCCCAGATATGGCAACAGTGTTCCATAAAAGGCCGGATTTGAGATTTATAGAGATAGAGAATAGAATCCAGAGTAAGAAAGTGACGAGCTCGATAAAGAGAAGCAACTTTAGCAGATGCTAATTTTGCAACGGATTTGATATATGGTTTCAAAGAAAGATCAGAAGTTAGAGTTAATCCTAGAGGATGAAGGGTAGATGACTCATTGAGTACATTAACATTCATAAATATAGGAAGGTTTAAATTATTAGGATAACCATTGGCTGAAGAAAATTGAGTTTTATCTGAGTTAAAGTTCACCAGCCACTGTGAGCCCCATGCTGTAGCAGAAGTGAGATCCTTTTCAAACTTAAATGCCCCCTCCAAGCAATCAGAGGGAGTTGGCTTCTTATCATGATAAGAATAAATGGTAGTATCATCAGCCAACAATGCCACCTTAGATGTGAGAATATCTGGAAGATGGTTAATGTAAATTAAAAAGATTATAGGGCCGAGGATTGAACCTTGAAGAACCTCTGAGGTTACATAATAAGAAGAAGAGTGCTGTCCATCAAGGTCAACATTTATACTATGATTGGAAAGGAAGGATTCAATAATCTTAAAGATGTTTATATATACACCGTAAGATGAAAGCTTATGGAAAAGACCAGTATGCCAAACTTTATCAAACGCTTTAGAAATGTCTTTATCTAATGCGCAATAAAACCTATTGGTTTTTACTGATAGCAAATCAGCCGTAGAACAAGAAGATTAAAAATCCATATTGATGATCAGAAAGTAAGTTATTAGATTCAAGATGAGAGATTAAGTGTTTGTAAATCACTTTAGATATAGAAGCTGGAGTGATACGGCTATCAAGCAATGGATCAATCTTTATGATGGCTATATCAGTTAGAACCCAACTAGTGGAATCAAGAGATGATATTGATGAAAAGTTTTTAGCAAACAATTCAGCTTTGTTTTTAGGTGACGTAAAAAAGTCTGAACCATTCAAAAGAGATAGAATTACAGGCTTGCCTATATTATTGATACTATTAAAGATTCTCCAGAAGTCACGAGAGCCTAATTTTTGTGATGAAATATGAGATTTCATGATCTGAGAATAGCGGACTTTGGCGTTAGACAAAACCTTTTTACAATTGTTCCTAGCAGTAATAAATAAACGTCTGTTTTCTGGAGAATTGTTTTGCTGATAGATATAGAAGTAATGGTTTCCATTGGCAATTGCAGCAGCACAATGTGAGGAAAACCATGGAGAAGAGTGAGGCTTGACCTGGAATCGTTGAGAAGGAATAAAGGATTCCATGCCAGCCTGAATCCACTAAGTTATGTATGAAGCACATTTGTCAACAGGAAGACAAAAGATTTCTACCCAAGGACCATCACAAAAAAAATCACAGAAAGAGTCCCAGTCAGCATTAAGGTAGTTGTAAAATGTACAATGATAGGGGGATTCTGATGCTAAAGAAGTATAAGATAATAGTTTTAGAGAGATCAAACTGTGACCAAAGACACCTAAAGGTGAATGTGGAGAAACTGAGCACTGACTAGGATCAGAAACAAGACATAAGTCACGTAGAGTAGAGTAAGGTAAATGATTTGGGTTGTCTGGAAAGCGAGTTGGAAAGTTGACTATTTGAGTTAGGGATTGAGAAAGACAAAAGTGGGCCTTGCAGACATTTTCATTGACACTTGAGTCAAGTCATTCGTTGTAATGAGCATTAAAGTCACAAACAACGTTGTTAGCTGATATTGGCTGATTGATATAGGGAAAGGGCTAGATCAATTTGATCAGAAATAATATTAAAAAGGTGCAGTTTTGAGCAAAGAGAAAGGCAATAGAGTGAAGTGATGCTAAGCGAAAACACATAAAAGAGTAGTCTGTGGTTTCAAACCAAGTTTTCTAACAAATGGGTAAATTCTTATGAATGTAGATGCCCCGGCCATACACGTGACTATTGGAGTCTTAATTAAAGGAAGATAACCATCAACAATAAGATTACAAGATGAGACATTGGGCTATTAAAAACTCACAGTTTTTAATAGCCCAACTCACTGTTTAATAGCCCAAACAATTGCCTCATTATTATTAATTAACCCTAAGCTGTAACAAAGGGCTCCAAATCAGCCTCGGCAATGCACACCAAAAGTACAAACAGGGACACCATCCATGCGCAACATGACACTGTTAGTATTTTGATATTTTTCAGCTGTTGATGGAATCAGCCTCTCTAAAAGCTACCACAGAGTTCGGGAAACCTGACTACTAGCCGGCCTCACAACCATAAAACTGAGTTTTAGAGCTGTACCCTCATTAGAAGATAATAGAATGAGTCATAAAAACAGATACACAAGCAAAGCCCATGCATCGAGTCAAGAAGATCCAACATTCAACATCCTAAACTGGAAACAATAAATTAAAAATACATCTGCACCAGCCTAATAGATAAAGAAGGGGTGCGAGGCTGGTCAATAGATAGAATCTGTTTACCCCTTAAATCTTTGCTTAGGAGGCCTTCTTTGAGACAGCAGCCGGATGCATTTAACATCTGCCCAAGATGAGTATTTTTATTGAGACACCATCTCTAGCCTTTACTCAACCAAGAGCCCCAAGGCAGGGGGTGTTTTATTTCGGAGTTGGCATCTCCTAGCCTTTGCTTAAAAAGGCGTATCCTACAAGGCAGCAGGACATAAAGCAGATTGTAGTGGTTTACATGTTACCAGTAGCAGGATAAACCTAACCTGACGCCAACTATGACCTCAACAAATTTTAATTTAATTCTGGATTCAGAGTCGTTTCACCAAATTACCCTAACTAAACCGAAAAAGCAAAAAAAAAAAATCTTTATTCCTTATATAAAATTTTTTTTTAATTTATATACATTTTACATAATATATATATATATATATATATATATATATATATATATATATATATATATATATATATATATATATATATATATATATATATATATATAGGCTGCGGCAGGAATGACGGGCTATAGCCAGTGTCCGTCTCCGCACCCGTCTAAGTCAGTTTAGACGGGCGAAATAAAGCCCGTCTGAAACATAAGTTTTGTGTAAAAAAAAAGATGAATATTTTGATGTTTTTTTATTAAGATACTCTTTTAAAACTTCTCTCATGACATAATTTTAATATGGATAGCAAACTCCAACTTATAATTGTTTATATTTAAATATAAAAATTAAACAATTTAATCATTATTGTATAACATGATGTAGAAAATAATATAACTAAATCTTACAGTTTTTTAAACGACGATAACTGTTTGATATAATACCAAACAGTTACCATATTATGTTCAAAATTTAATAACTATTATATTAAATAGGGAAATATACACATGTGATGCACAAGAAGTATCATGTTGTTTTGGTTTTTCAATGTTAATAATAATAACGATAATAAACTAA